CGCCCCGCCTGGCCCAGTGGGGGCCTGCCGCCCGGAGGGCGTCGCGGCGCCGTACACGCTGCCGCAAGAGGTTGCAGCAAGGATTGCGGAGGAGGCGTACAATCGGGGCAGCGGTGACAACATAGGAGTGGTGGTGTTGGATGTCGGCGCCGCAGCCGCCACTGCGGCGCTCGACGCGCCGCGTGCGGCGGCGGCAGGAGGGGTTTCAGACGCAGCGGTTGCAGGGGCGGAGGCAAAAGGCGGGTTGGATGAGGTCGGCTTTTGCGCAGGTCTTGGCGGCGGCGCCGAGGGGCTGGCCGGGGCGGATCTGGACGGCTGCGGCGGCGTTGCGGGGAATGCCTCGGACGACCAATTGCTCAGGGACGAAGATGAGGCAGGCGACAGGGAGGGGCAAGAGGGGCAAGAGGATGAGGGGGAGGGGCAGGAGGAGGAGGAGGAGCAGGGGGAGGAGGAGGAGGGCTTGGGGGATGAGAGAGGCCCGGGCCGCCTTGAGGGGCAGGCAGGGGCCGGCGGGCTGCAGCGGCTGCTTGATGCTGATCTGGGCGCGGCGGCGCTAGCGCTGGCGGAGGCAGAGGCTGGTGGCGCGGGGCGCCCGGCGCAGCCGCACGGCGCGTGCGTGCTGCTGCAGCACACAGCGGGCGCAAGCGGCGGCGGGGGCGCCGGCGCCGGCGACGCGGCTTCTCTCTGGCCGGCCGGGGAGTCACTCGTCCCTGCAGCCGCCGCGGCCGCCGACGCGCCGCTTGGCGCGGGCGCCGGCCCCGGCGCCGCGCTGCAGGTCACGGGGGCGCCGGCAGCGGCGGCGGTTGTGCCTGGCCTGGGCAGCGGCACGGCGGTTGTGTGCCGCGGGTCTGACCACCAATATGTGCTGACTGTACACCTGGCTGACGCGCCGGCGCTGCCGTCGCACGTCCACGTGTGGCCGCTGGCAGAGGGACCCGCAGGCATTGTCGGGTGAGCGACTTGTGGGGCCGGGCAGCCGGGCAGAAAGTCAGAAGCCTGCCCTACCGAAGCAAGCGACTGGGGAGCTGGTGGCGTCTGTTTGCGCGCCTCGTCAGCGGGCCTCTGCTTTGCGTGTGCTCGCACCTGCGCCCGCTTGTGACTGACGCCCACGCGCCCACGCCGCCGACGGCGGCGCCGTCCTCGACGTCATGCACGCACTTGCAGGGAACTGCCGGAAGGCGAGGGGACGGCGGCGGATCTCTGGCGAGACGCGGATCTTATGGGCGCCCTCGCCGCCGCGCCGCCGTCATCCGCGCTCGCGTGCGCGCCGCCGCCGCCTGCCGCTCGGGAGCCGCAGGGGGTGTGCAGTGAGGAGGAGGCGCAGCGGCAGCAGCAGCAGCAGCAGCAGCAGCAGCAGCAGCAGCAGCAGCAGCCGGGGCCGCAGCAGGACACGCCGCGGGAGCTGGCCGGCGCGACATCGGGCGAGGGGGCGTGCCTTTTTTCGGGCGACGAGCCGGCGGCGCGGTGGGTGCGGCGGTTGGCGGCGCTGCCGATGCATCCAGGCGGTGTTGAGGGGTGGGACGAAGGAGGGGACGGCAACGGCAGCGACGACTCTGATGAGGAGTCGCTTGGGCAGGAGACAGCGGAGGGGCCGGGCGGCGATTACGGCGCTGCTTCGAAAGATATTGCCTCGGACGGCGCTCCCTCGTACGGCAGCGCGGCGTCGTCGCGCGGCTGCGCGGGGCCCAGGCGCGGCGCGTGCGAACGGGCGGACTGGCGGGGCATACCCCCGCCCCCGCCCCCGGCGGCCCCCGCACCGTTGAGGCGCGTGCAGGGCGGGCTACTGCTGGAGCCCTTTTTCGGCGGCGACGGCGAAGGCGAAGGCGGGGCGGCCGCCCCCAGCGACGCCGCTCTGGACGGCCGTGGCGCGGCCGTCGGGGCGGCGGTCGCCGCCGGGGTCGTCGCCTGGCACCAAGCCTGGGCCAGCCGGGCCGGCGGCGGCGGCCGCCGCGCCCTCCTCGGCTTCCCCGGCCGCCCCTCGGCCGCCGCCGCCGCCGCCGCCGCCTCCGCGCCCCCGCTGTGCGTCGGCTGCGGGGAGGGGGGACACGCCTACCAGATCGGCGCCCACAGTGTCGGCAGGGGCCACTTTGGGGAAGTGTGGCGCGCCGCGCGC